TTTTTTTTTCAAAGGTTTTTTTTTATCTCTATCTCCTTCAGTTCTGCTCTGATCTTAGTTATTTCTTGTCTTCTGCTAGGTTTTGAGCTTTATCTTGCTCCTCTAGCTCTTTCAATTTTGACAATAGGGTGTCAATTTTAGATATTTCCTTGTTTCTCATGTGGACATTTATTGCTGTATATTTTCCTCTAGACACTGCTTTAAATGTGTCCCAAAGAGAAAATATGGAACACTTCACAAATTTACGTGTCATCATTGTGCAGGGGCCATGCTAATCTTCTCTGTATCGTTCCAATTTTAGTATATGTGCTGCTGAAACAAGCACTAAAACTGATTTTGTAGTCAGAATTGTAGCAGTCTTACCATATTTTTCCAATTTTTTTCCTCATTAAAAATAGAATTGATGGGAATGGGGGCTCTTTTTTTTTTTTTTTTCCCCAAAAAGAAACTGCCCACCTAGCAGTTCTGTTTTTTTAATGGAATAGAACAGGTAAGTAGAAAATTTTGTTAGTGCCTTTGATTATAGAATCAGTTTACAAAATGTTGAAGAAACCACAGTATTAGGGAATTACAATTTTACAAATACCATTGTTGTAAGAGAGTCAGGCAAACAACGGTGGGTGCCGAGAGCATTGAGTGAAAGGTTATTGGGGAACTGGTTAGTTACACAATTTGGAAGTATCAGCCTACAGACTGTTTATTAATCAAAAAAGAAAACAGTTATTTACAGTGGGGAAATCTGGCAGATACCAGAATAACCAAGTCATAAAATTTGCCACCAACAATGAAGGTAAAACCTGGCATGCACTTCCTGATCCGACAAGCTGAGCAAGGGACACGGCATCACCTTGTGGCCTTCTTACCAGAAATATTGAATTTGCAGATCTAGTCACTAGGAAACAATCAAATCCAGACTGAAGGGCATTGTCAGAACATCTGGATTGGACTCTTTTTAAAGGTCAGTGTTGTGAACAATGGACCAGAAGTGACTGAGGAACTATCCTAGATCAAAAGACACTAATGAATGTGACAGCTAAGCATGATGCCAACAGCCCCGATCGAATCTGGGATACAAAACTAAACAAGTTAAACAACTATTGAAGTAATCACCACAGATACCTGAAAATTGACCATATATTAAAGAAAAAAGGGTTAAATTTCTTGAGTATAAGTAAATGAATTGTGGCCATGTAGCTAGCCTTGTTCTTAAGAGATACTGTGGAAGTATTTGAGGTTAAAATGTCATGTGTTTACAGTTTACTGTTAATTGGTTCAGCAAAAGTAAATACATATAGAAAGGACAAAATGTTGACAAATTTAAATAAAAGGCCCACGAGTGTTCTCGCAGTATTAGAACTACTCTGTGGGTCTGAAAATTCTCTAGATGAAAATGGAAAGAATAGAATTGTTTATTAAAGTAGCCAGACGCAAGCAGTGAAAACAGAAGTCGGCCGGGTGCGGTGGCTCAAGCCTGTAATCCCAGCACTTTGGGAGGCTGAGGCGGGTGGATCACAAGGTCAGGAGATCGACACCATCCTGGTCAACATGGTGAAACCCTGTCTCTACTAAAAATACAAAAAATTAGCTGGGCATGGTGGCGCGTGCCTGTGATCCCAGCTACTCAGGAGGCTGAGGCAGGAGAATTGCCTGAACCCAGAAGGCGGAGGGTGCAGTGAGCCGAGATCGCGCCATTGCACTCCAGCCTGGGTAACAAGCGCGAAACTCCGTCTCAAAAAAAAAAAAAAAAGAATAACAACAGAGGACGTTTCTCCGGAAAATAGGTGGAAGCAGGGATCACAGATGGGCTTTTACTGGATTGCCGTATCTGACGATTAGTACTGACTGCCAGACGTGGAAGTGCGCAGGAGTGAGGCCACATAAATGACTTACTAGCAGTGTTCTCACAGGGTTTGGGACATGGGAGTGATGGGGCATGTCCCAAATGTGCTTTGATATTTACACTGTAGCAGTCTAATTATTCTTAACTGTTATCAGTCACTGCCTGCTCTGACCTGGCCTTTAGTCTGAAGCCTACATTTCCTTTGGTATGTGTATCCCTCCTAAAGCTGGGCCAGGGCTCCTCAGATCTTTAAAAGTCAAGTGTCTGGGCCGGGCGCGGTGGCTCAAGCCTGTAATCCCAGCACTTTGGGAGGCCGAGGCGGGTGGATCACGAGGTCAAGAGATCGAGACCATCCTGGTCAACACGGTGAAACCCCGTCTCTACTAAAAATTACAAAAAATTAGCTGGGCATGGTGGCGCGTGCCTGTAATCCCAGCTACTCAGGAGGCTGAGGCAGGAGAATTGCCTGAACCCAGGGGGCAGAGGTTGCGGTGAGCCAAGATTGCGCCATTGCACTCCAGCCTGGGTAACAAGAGCGAAACTCCGTCTCAAAAAAAAAAAAACAAAAAAAAAACAAAAACAAGTGTCTGAGGCAGCTTTAGGTCAGGGGTTGGAGTATAGGGAGAAGGCCCTTTCTCTTAGGAGGGACCTCCTATATAACTTTAACTAGATTCTGTACGAGATTTAAGACCTAAAATGGCTAAGACTCCAGTCCTTTGTGAGTGTTGGTGTTGGGCCGTCATTCTGCTGTCCTCCTGCCTGACTTGCAGGTCAGGCTCCTCTGCCTCTCACCTCTCTGTGCTGGCTCACCGCTGTGAGTGGCTTTTCTCCCTAGTCTGAAAGGTTCCCCTTTGCTCCTGAGGGCATGTGGATTTTTGCATCATCGAGAGCAGGTAATTTTCCACTCTCTTTAAAAGGTAAAAGGAGCCTGATCATAGTATGTGCTCAATAAATATTGTTGAATGGTTGAAATAATTACACACTTCTTTTCCCAGACAGCTTTCCTGTTGAAATTAGTTGGTGTTCTTATTTAGTATTCTTTGAATAGAATTACATGGATTGGCTCCCTTGGCTACCTGTGCAGCTTTCCCTACTGTTTTTCCAGCTTGAGTCTTCAAGAGCCAACTGATTTCTAAAACCGTTTGTACCTGGTGTGATTATAAAGCAATGAGACTGATTGTCATATGTTGTTTGTGGGATCCGTCTCAGTTACTTTATAGCCATACCTGGTATCTTATACCACAGATCATGGCCTGTTGAACAACATTTTAAAAGAGACTTCTAAATGGAAATTTAAAATGGTTTAGCATTATTTTATCATTGTCTCTAACTTACTGATCAGAAGTCTTATTCAGAAAGGTAATTAGATGTTAACTTTATTGCTTGCTTTAATTTTATAGTTTTTTTTTATTTGTGGATTTTCAATCAGTATTCTGATAAACTGCTATTCTAATAAAGTGGCCGTAACAATTTTGAGTAAGGTAGTAAAAAGGTATATGTTCCATTGGGTTACGTTTTCCATAAAACTCCTTTTACTGTTGTATTTCTCTTCTTTTTTTTTTTGAGGGTCTCGCTCTGTCACCCAGACTGGCGTGCAGTGGCGTGATCTCAGCTCATTACAGCCTTGACTTCCTGGACTCCAGTGATCCTCCCACCTCAGCCTCCTGAGTAGCTGTGACCACAGACATGTGCCACCATGCCTGGCTCATTTTCCTGTTTTTGTTAAAGATGGGGTTTCACCATGTTGCTTAGGCTGTTCTTGGACTCCTGAGCTCAAGCAATCCACCTGCCTCCCAAAGGGCCGGGATTATAGGCATCAGCCATGCACTGGGCCCTATAGAATTTCTTTTTAGTTGCATGTAGTCTTTTGGGACTGCATGTAACACAAAGATGGTTCTTTTAGCTAAATATGATAAATGAAGCATGTAAAACTAAATATTTCAATGTATTATTCATTGAAGAAGCATTGAAAAGGACAAGTTTTAGAGACTTTTGCTTGTTTGTTTTGTTGGTTTACAATTTATATGTATAAATCATATTCAAATTCAAATAAGTGGTTATAATTTTTTTCCTGAAATAAAATGTTTATTTCCCTTCTAATGACCCCTAGTCTCTCTTAAGGGCTCTCTGGAGAAGGTAAATGTAGAAGTTATATGTTGCCACCAAAGACAGTTCGAAGTTATTTCCTTTGTGGAGGAGGAAAGGGATAGCAGTCTCCTGCTGTCCATAGGAAGGGGTATTCAATTCTTTTATGGTTAATGCTTCTGGAAATTATGTAGGGGAAAGATCTAGGTAACTAGAAAGCAACTTAAGACCATCCTCATAAGTTAACTTATATAGCCTGTGACTGTGGGCAGACCTCTGGACGACTGTTAGAGGCTGGAGGTATTTTGATGCCAAATCAGTCCAAAATGTTAAAGTCTGGACCTCTTTCAGGAATGTTTGATTTCCAGAAGAATTCTTGGGTAAACTAGCAAGGAGCCTCACTTCACTCAATTCTGGACATAAGACCCAAGTCAGTTTCTGATGTCACTAATAAAAGGTGCCACCATTTGGCACTTTGTAGCTCTGTTACCAGCTGTATGTCCTTGTCTCGGTGAGATTAGAAAGCTCGGCATCCTGTACTTGTTTTTGTTCCTTGCACTAGTTCTACACATAGTGGGTGCTCCATGAATGTTCCTAGACTGGTTAGTGCAAGAAGTACCATTTTATGCTATAAAAACAGCACTTTTCTCTATTTCTAAAGGAATTAAGACTTTCTGAAGATCATTTTAAAATAGAAAAGGTTTTACAGTGTAAATCTACCATGATGTTGGTACATTTCTGTTGGTATATAATGTTATGCTGTCTGTTGTCACATTTGGCTGGTTTAATAATCTTTTTTTAATGTAGTTGTCAGACAATTTAATATGGTTCTTAACACTGCAATCGTTTTATGCCTTATGTCTGTTTAAGTCTTAAGTACCACACAACAAATTACATGTTCCCACTTGGTGCCAGCATACCCAGCTGCAGCTTCATTTCAGCTGAGAAGTGGAGTTTGCATACCCTTTCCATTAGCAAACATTACAGTAGTTAACCTAAGTGGCGCGTTTATATATTTCATGTTTCAATAAATTGTAAATGTCACTTGAGTATATGTATTTATTTTATATTACAGGCACTGGAGATATTATTGCTGTCATGATAACAGAATTGAGGGGTAAGGATATTTTGAGTTATCTGGAGAAAAACATCTCTGTACAAATGACAATAGCTGTTGGAACTCGAATGCCACCGAAGAACTTCAGCCGTGGCTCTCTAGTCTTCGTGTCAATATCCTTTATTGTTTTGATGATTATTTCTTCGGCATGGCTCATATTCTACTTCATTCAGAAGATCAGGTACACAAATGCACGCGACAGGAACCAGGTGAGCTGCCAGTACTCAACAGTGATTGGTTCTTACCAGCCAGAGTTCACAGACATTTGTCGTCATCATGCGTCTTACTAACATGTTTTTTGTTTTAAAAAATATTGTTACACTCACTCAGTCATTTTAAGGTGTTGAAAATGTCTACACAATAATTTAAGTGATATTTAAAATAACCTAAAGGGTTCTAAATTTATTGTGATCACCTAGAATATTCTAGTTAGGTAGATAGCTGATATCATAGTATTATCTACATAATTCTATTACTTTGGAGAAATATCAGAAAGTTGCATTTTTAAACTAGTAACTGTGGGTGTTTCTGGAAATGGGAATGGGGAGGGGGGTTAGGGAGACTTCACTCTACCCCTTCCTATGTGAAATTCTTTCCCATGTGAATTTTGAACAGGGAAAGTATGATCTATTCAGAAAACAACATCAGTGAAAAACCTCTGTCATCTAAGTTCAGACATGGGGTAAGGGTGAGGTGGGGAGGACCAATAGAAGAGGTCTCTCTAGATAGTCATCCTAGAAGTTCCATTGACAGCATGTCTGAGGGGCTCTGGGAATTTGGGTTGAGTGAATAAACCAAGAAAGGCAGTGTGCTTCCCTGATGTGAGGGCCTGGAGATGGTGGCTCTCAGTTGGTAACTTAAGTTTGTTTGATGTGCTGTGGACAGAGTACCCACCCTAGGAGCCAGGTTCGAGGTGTTTGGTCCCTATCCTAGACTTTTCATATAGAAAACTAAGAAGTGACTTGCTTGGAGAGTGATTTGAGGCCAGTTTTTATATAAGGCTACCTTCTCCTAACACAGAACATCCATGTCTCTGTGGGAAGTCGGCATTGGGATTTTTATCCTTCCTCATTCTACTAAAAGAAGCACAGACTTTGGCATGGAACAGGTCTCAGCTCAAATCCCTCCTGTACCACCAGTTTACCATGATCCCTCATCCCTGTTGGACAGTTTATTTAGCACCTGAACTTATTTCTTTATCTGAAAGTAGATATACCTGAACATTAGCTTATTGAAGCTTTACGTGCCAGGCTCTCCCTATGCACTTTTAAATTTTTTTATTTCGATATATTTGTAATTTTGGACTTAACAAAAAAATTTGCAAGATTAGTGTCAAGTATTCCCTTCACTCAGATTCTACAGCTGTTGATATTTTACTGTATTTTCTTTTCTATGTAGTTATACTTTTTTAAATTAAAAAAAAATTTTTTTAAGAGACAGGGTCTTGCTCTGTTGCCCAGGCTAGAATGTGGTGTCAGCCATGGCTCACTGCAGCCTCCAACTCCTGGGCTCAAGTGATCCTCCTGCCTCAGCCTTCTGAGTAGCTAGGACTAAAGGTATGCACCACCATCCTAATTTTTAAATTTTTTGTACAGACCATGTCTTGCAGTGCTGCCCAGGCTGATCTCAAATTCTTGGGCTCAAGCAGTCTTCCCACCTTGGCCTCCCAAAGTGCTGGGGTTATGGGTATGAACCACCACCCTCAGACTTTGTATTTGACAGTTAGTTTGAGATATGATGCCACGTTACCCTTAAATATTTTGTTACATATTTTCAAAAAACAAGAACATTCTCTTAAATAACCATGGTGTGATTATCAAATCAGTAAGTTAACATTGATATAATACATTATCTGACTTATAGACCTTTTTTGGGTTTTATAAAACTGGCTCAATAATGACCTTTATAGCAGAGAAAATCCTGGATTGATTGGAGCTTATTGGATTTTGCATTCAATTGTCTCTCTTACTTGGTTTTATGACATTGATGTTTCTGAAGAGTACAGATCACTTATTTTGTATTTGACTTTATCTGATGTCTTGTGTTCCTTCATGATTAGTTTCAGGTTATATGCATTTTGGGAAATTTGTAGATTTGCTTGTATTTGTAAGAGAACATAGAAATACAAAGAGATCTCTTATCCCCTTCACTAATTTTCTCCCTGTGGTAACAACATCTTGTATAACTGTGGTCAATATCATAACCTGGAAATTGGTATGGATACATGATCTTTCTGAATTTCCTGCAGTCTTCCCACCTCTCCGGTTTAATTTGTACTTATTTGTGTACGTGTGTGTCTGTCTTTAGTCTGTGCAGTTTTATCGCATGTGTAGATTCATATAACCAACATCACGGTCAGGATACAGACCAGTTCCATCAGTAGGATCCCTTGTGCTACTCTTTTATAACCACAGCTGCCTCCCTCCCTCCCCCTTCCCTAATCCCTGGGTACCATTAGTCTGTTTCTCATCTCTATAGTTTTGTCATTCCAAGAATGTTACATAGGTGGAATCATGGGCCAGGCGTGGTGGCTCATGCCTCTAATCCCAACACTTTGGGAAGCCAAGGCAGGGGGATAACTTGAGGTCAGGAATTCAAGACCAGCTTGGCCAACATGGTAAACCCCATCTCTACTAAAAATACAAAAACTTAGCTGGGCAAGGTGGTGTGTGCCTGTAGTCCCACCTGCGTGGGAGGCTGAAGCATGAGAACTGGTTGAACACAGAAGGCAGAGGCTGTGGTGAGCTGTGATCGTGCCACTGCACTCCAGCCCGGGTGACATATGAAGACTATCTTCAGACAAAAAAAATATGTTATATAGGTGGAATCATACAGTATGTAACCTCTAGAGTTTGAATTTCTTCACTCAGCATCATTACCTTGAGATACCTCCAAGTTGTTATGTGTATTAATTGTTTATTCCTTTTTACTGCCGAATAGTATCCCATAGTTTGGGTGTACCACTGTTTCTTTAACCACACACTCATTGAAGGATATCTCGATTGTTTTCCGGTTTTGGCTATTACAAATAAAGCAGCTGTGAACAATCACATACAGGTTTTGATGTGAACATGAGTTTTCATTTCCCTGGAAGAAATGTGTAATTGCTGAGTACAGTGTAAATTCCAAGAGTGCAGTTTTGGGGCTATTAGATAAGCATGTATTTACTTTTGTAGGAAACCGTTACACTCTTTCTTCAAAGTGGCTGTACTGTTTTGCATTCCCACTAGAAATGTTTGACTGAGTTCCTCCACACCCTTGACAGCACTTGGTGTTTTCATCTCTGGTGATTATTTAGCTGTGTAGTAACATCTTTTGTGATTTTAGTTTGTATTTCTTCAATGACTGCTAATGTTATATATATTTTTATGTGCTTGTTTGCCATCTGTATCCTCTTCAGTGAAATGTCCGTTCATGTCTTTTGCCCATTTTCTACCTAGATTGTTTTTCACAGTTGAGTTTTGAGATCTCTTTATGTATTCCAGATACAAGTCCTTCATTGGATAGGTGGATTGCAGAGATTATCTCCCAGTCTGTGTTTTGTTTTGTTCAACTTCTTAATAAGGTCTTTGAAGAGCAAAAATTTCTAATTTTTGTGAAGTTTATGAATTTTTTCTTTGATGAATTGTGCTTTTGGTGTCAACTCTAAAAACTCTTTACTTAGCTAGATATCCCAAAGATTTTGTACTTTTTATATTGTTATGTTTTACATTTAAGTCTGTGATCAGTTTATTTGAAGCTTTCCTGTTTTCTAATGTAGAAATTAAGTGCTATAAATTTCTCTCTCAGCATTTCTTTAGCTGTGCCTCACATATTTTGATATGCTATATTTTCATTTTCATTCAGTCCTATGTATTTTTTTCTTTTGAGACTTCTTCTTTTACCATACATTATTGAGAAGTATATTATTTAATTTCCAGTAGTTTAGAGATTTTACTTTTTTTTTTCCATTTTGAAGGAGGGTCTTACTCTGTCACCCAGGCTGGAGTCCAATGGTACAATCTCAGCTTACTATAACCTGAGTTAAACCAGGTTTAAGTTATTCTCTTAACCTCTGCCTCCTGAGTAGCTGGGATTATGGGCACACACCACCATGCCAGGCTAACTTTGGTATTTTTTGGTAGAGATGAGGTTTCACTGTGTTGCCCAGGCTGGTCTTGAACTCCTGACCTCAAGTGATCTGCCTGCCTCAGCCTCCCAGAGTGTTGGGATTACAGGCGTGAGCCACCATGCCCTACCAAGATTTTACTCTTATCTTAGTGTTACCAATTCCTAGTTTGATTCCATTATGCTCAGAGAAATACCCTATTATTTCAGTCCTCTTCTATTTTTTTGAGGTTTGTTTTATAATCTAGGATGTGGTTTGTCTTAGTCAGTGTTTCATTGGTGCTTGGGAAAAATACATGTTCTGCTGTTGGGTGGTATGTTTTCTGGGTGTTAATTAGACTAGTGTGCAGAGCTTTTCTTCCTGAGGAGCCAGGCTGGGAGAGCATATTCCCACTGAGCTCTGTGAGACCAGGGTGGGAGGAGGATCGTGATTTTTCCCTTGGCGCCTGGCTGGAGTAGAATGAGTATTACCGCAAATGTTTGCTGATGTTAGGCCATCCTTTTCCTGGTACTGTGGCTAGAGACTTGGGCTTTTCTTGGCTTTTTCTGGGGCTGGGGGCTGGGGGTGCTCTGGTCCTGTTGGCAGTTCTAGATTGGAGGCTTCTGCAGCACATTGTCAGGGATCTATGTGGACAGTAAGGAAGCTCAGAACCCACCATCCGTTTCTCATGTATTGAGGGCCTCCAACAGCCCACCTGCTTTTCTCACTTATGCTGTATACCTTTAAAAAAAAAACACTAAAGATCTGTTTTTTAAATATGTTGACATAGGAAACACTGAAAGTAAAATGATAAGGATCTGCTCTGAAATGGTGTTGTTGACAGGCAAGCCTGTGGTAGTGGACTGTATATTGCACACCCTGAGGACTTTGGAACAAAGGCTTACAGTTGTCGGAGGAGCCTGCTATTGGAAGATAGTACTTTAATTAGCACCCAGTGTGGGGCCTGGGGGTAATGAAGGAGTAAACATAATTACCATCTGGTGCCACAAACAACAAGCTTGTTTCCTAGCATTTATTTTGCGGCTGACTGCATGCATGATCTTTCCAAAGCATCTCTGTCCGGATGCTACGGTGGTGGAAAGCAGTGTTCTAACCTTTTTT